GAGAGGAGAGGAGAGGAGAGGAGAGGAGGGGGGGAGAGAGAAGCAGCTAAGCTGAGCATGGTGGTTCATGCCTGTCAGCACAATATTTCAGACGCTGAGGCAGGAAGATCATGAATTCCAGGACAACCTGGGTTAGAGTGAGTCCTGGTACCAATAAAACTGGAAGTAATATATATTTGGGCTAAGCAATAAAGAATGCCAAGAAAAATTTGGGTATTTTCTCAGAACTGCCGGCTGGATGATTAAAGAAAGTATTATAGAACTGGGTAATTAGGAATTACAAAATAAGTCCTTGTTAGCTCCAGTCTCTGCAAGCACCAGCAGTTCAGTTAAAGACTGGAGTGCATCTCACCTTGGGTTCAGGTACGAGAGCGGTCAGGAAGCCCTGATGAGAAGTAGTTAACCCCTTTCTCGTCTAACCTCTGAAATGGCTGGATTCAGGTTCCTCAGTTTCTAGTTGATGATTCTAGTTTTCTAAGCTCCTCAAACTGTAACTTCTGAAAGTGTCGATGAGAAATCCCCACTCACAGCGTCGATCTCATTCAGGATCTTCCACTGCTCGTAGGTCACCCCAAGGCACTCGGCAGTCTGGATGGTCCTCTTCAACTGGCTCGTCCACACCTTCAGATCCTGGATCTCCTGCTCCTCCAGAAACTTCTTCAGAGCCTGAGCAAACTAGGGTTCGGAAATAAAAGCTAAACAAAGAAAACCCACCACACCACACACACAGTACACACAGAGACTACTAGCCATGGTCAAACTATAAACCCAAGAGGAAATGAAATTCCGTTAGAGGACTCTGTGTCACGTCACACATAGTGCCCAGTAATTTCCTGATGGCTGAATGATTACAGCAGAAAGGGTCTCAAGTGACATGCACTTTAATCCAGAGTTAGGTACAGTAAGCAGAGAACATCCTCAGCACTTTCTGTGAAACCACAGCCTAAGCCCAAAAGGGATTTAGCAGGAGGGGATAAAACAATGACCTCCACCACGCCCTTCTAACTCTAAGCTCAGGAAATCCAGCCTGCTGGCTAACTACTCACCTGCTTGCCTCGAGGTGAAAGACCAGAGTCACCCCCAATCTTTCCCAAAAGATTGAAGTCACTTTCTCCATGCCGGCAAAGGTAGATGGTGCGAGGCTGCACATGGATATTCATAAGGTAGTAGACAATTTTACTCTGGATGTAGTCCTGGACTCTGTTGACCAGAAATCTCTGGCCTACATTTATCACCTTGATGAAAGACAGATCCCTGGGATAGGTACAAAGAAGAAGTTCACAGTAAGAGCATCTGAAGCCAGGAGTGAGGTGGGCAGGGGAGCAAGGCTATCAGCACCTGTTGACAAACGCAGCGCTTTGGAGGCTAAGGGGAATGGGGCTCGAATCTGACCCTGACTCCAGACAAGTGAACAGAGAGTATATAGGGAGAATGAGCTGTATACTGACTGGTAGACCCCCATCAGCCTTTCCTTCTTTCCTAGCCACTGCCATATTTATAGAACAACCAAATGTTAAGAGATAGATTACATCTTTAAATTAAGACGGCATACAATTTATTGAACGCCCAACAAGCATATACTCTCTCCTCGGTGCCTATCCTGTGCCATGAAATATGTGTATGTATGGAAAACAGAATTCAGGCTTCCCAGACCTAGACTAAGTGACTTGAATATCTTTGCTAACTTCAAATTTTGGTGAGACACATGGGCCCCCACATAATGTGGTCAATATCTAGACAGAGCACGGACTGGGAAGGCGGACGGGTTAGCCAGGGTACCTGTTGCACCCTGAGCCACCTAATCAACCTCTCTCAAAGACAATGCCACTATTTGCTTTGTGGCCATAGGATTTTTCTTAAAATTAAAGTAATGGGCGCTTATTCAAACTAATGATCAGGAGAAAAAGGCACAATACGGTAAATCACCCACTGACGACCAAAGATAAATCTGTAAACACATATACTTATAAACATAAATATCCTTCTAGAATGCTGTTCTACACAGGACCTAGTTAGACTGAATATCTCCTTACACTACATCTAGAGCAGTGCCGTTCAGTCACTTATTATAGAAATGCTCCTAAATATTTGTATTCTGGGAACTCCATGCGAAGAAAATGAAACGCTCAAAAATCTAATGAGATTGCTGCAGTGATCTAACACTGTGCTATGCACACTTGTGCTGGCTGGTTTTCATAATCAATTTGACTGGGCACTAGAGACACACTCCTGGGTATGTGTGGGAGGGTGTTTCCACAGAGACTAAATAAGGGAGGAACCCTCACCCTGACTGGACAGGGCATTATCTCATGGTCTCGAGGGTCCTGGACTCAATCAGGAGAGAAAATGGAATGGGCATGGGGCTTCACACCTGTGATCCCAGTATTAGCACGGTCCTGCCCAAGGCTAGGATACACAGTGAGATCTTGACTCAAAAAACGGGGTAAGAGGGGAGACAAAGCCAGGTCAAGCAGCACCCTCCCACTAGCACGGGTGGGAGCCAGTCCTGCTCCCATGCTTTCCCTACCACGGGGGCTGTACATGCTGACGAGCAATCCAAAACAAACTTCTCCTCCCAGAGTTTCTTATGCCAAGTGCTCTGCCACAGTGATGAGAAAAATAGTGGGTATAATATTATTTCATCGAAATATAATCCCAGCACTGTGGAGGTGGAAGCATAAGAGTTAGGAATTTCGAGGTTATACTATATCATATATAACAAATTAAAGGCCAGCATGGACTGAGTCTCATGATTTCATAAGGCAATGTTCTCACAGGTTTCCATATACACACTGCCTTTCTGCAAGAAGGACTCAACATCTCACTATACCCCACAGCAGGCAAATCAATCTGTACTCTATGCCTCACTGCCATGAGCACTACCCCAGTCACGATGGCTGGCACTGATCAGACATTTCTCCTTCATCCAGGCTGTGTCCCTGAATTTATGTAATATATATGTAATAAGCATATATATATATATATATATTAAAATACAAATTATATATGATAAACCTTAAAATGATGATGCATCTCTAAGAGATATCCTACAGCATTCTAGTTCAGATTTGCTCAATCTGGAATAGCACTTCTTAATTTGAGATGATTTGGGTCCCTAGGAGACATCTGCCAGTATCTGAAAACATTTCAGTTGTCACAGTTTAGAGGCGTTCCTGGCACCTAGTGGACAGAGGCCAAGGAGACTGCTAAATATATTAGAATACACAAAGTAGTCCCTATAACAAAGAATTCCATAGTTCAAAATGTCAAAAATGCTTAGATGGAAACCCTTGCTCTTGAGCAGTGGTTCTCGACTTTCCTAATGCTGAGACCCTTTAATACAGTTCTTTATGTTGTGACCCCCCAAACATAAAATTTTCATTGCTACTTCATAATTGTAATTTTTCTAGTTATGAATCATAATGTAAAATCTAAAATGCAGGATATCTGATATGTAACTGCTGTAAAAGGGTTGTTCTACCCACAAAGGGGTCCCAACACACAGGTTAAGTATGGATATGTAAAATATACAACACACATAAATATCTGTGCTGGATAGTTTTATGTCAACTTAATATACACTAAAGTCATCTGAGAGGAAAGAACCTCAATTAAGAAAATTCCTCCATAAGATCAGGCTGTAGGGCATTTTCTTAATTAGTGATTGACGGGAAAGGGTCCAGCACACTATAGTTGGTACCATCCCTGGGGTGGTGATACTGGGTTCTATAAAAAAGCAGGCTGAGCAGGCCATGAGGAGCACCCTCCATGTCCTCTGCAGCAATCAGCTCCTGCATCCAGGTTCCTGCCCTGACTTCCTTCAGTGACGGACTACAATATGGAAGTGTAAGTTTAATAAACCCTTTCTTTCCTCCCCAGCTTGTTTTTGGTCATGGTGTTTTATCCCAGCAACAGTAACCCTAACTAACAGAGTATCACAATAAAAACCTTGTTCAGTGAAATGGCATAAATATCATAGGTTTACATTACAGAAACAATTAGAGACCAGCAGGGAGAATGACACTCTTCCTCCTGCCCCAACCCTCAGATCATGGTGTGTTGAACCTTACTTATCATAATTGTCTGGATCAAGGGGCTGGTAAGTGACTTTGTAGCACTCGATTCTCTTCAGGAAGTCCTCCATCACATTCTCCCTATTCCTTTCAGGGTAGTCAGGGCTTGACACCTTTACCTCCTAAAATCACAGGAACATAAGGGCCTGATCAGAATTCTGTTCTTAACAGCCCTCCAACAAATAGCCACTGCTAAAAAACAGAAGAAGTCCATAAAAAACAGCTTTTCACTAGAGCACTGGCATTCCCCATTCACTGGACTCTCTCATCCTGTCCTGTGACCCTGGCAACCAAGAAAGGGAAGACAACTGGGGAGTCATGTGCCTGCCTTTGGCCAAAGGACAGAGGGAGTCAAGCTGCTAATACTACTTCTGAGCCCTGAGCCCTTTATGTATTTGTCTGCAAACACAGAATGGGCTCCAATTTTCCCCTTCTGCTTCTCAGAATAGGGTATGTGACCCGGTATTTGACTTAGGAATCACTGCCTCTTCCCCAAATAAAATAACTCCAGTTCCTATGATGGGAAGACACCTCTAGAAAAGCATACAAAGATGCCTCCTTAGCACAGAACAAAACAGCCAATCCAGTGAGTACTGTCTGGTGCTGTGCCCCACAGGGCATAGAAGTGCAATATTCAATGCTGATCAGAACATTAGACCACTACTGAATAATCTTCCTATCAGGTGACTGAACAGGAAAAAAGAGTCTAATCTGGCACAATATCTAGGTCTTACCATCAGGAAAGATCAAAACACAAAGCCAGAATGCCCACAGTCCAAGTTGTTCCCCATTCAGCAATTCATTTTTAGTGTATTCCTCTCAGGCCCAGGTTCTTTTCCCAAAAGAAGAATATAAAGGTACAAAATGTTCTCAGATAAAGAAGATCTGTTTGCTTCCTTCTTTCATTACCCAATCCACACACACAGAGACTGAGACTGAGTGACGGCAGATGACAGGGATGACACTCACCAGAATATTGGCAGCAATGACGTCAGGGTCATCACAGACAGATTCCACAAAGAATACCTGGCCATGGAGCAAAGGCATGATAAACATGTCAAAATGTCAGGTTGTCAACTGTAAGCACATACTCACCTACTTCACCCAGCTACCACACCTTCAGGATTCATAGTGGCCGTCAAGGCCTCTTCCTTTAAAACCAGATCTGACCACATCCCCTGGACCTTACAGGCTAAATAAAGGTCAGAGAAAGGATCTAAACAAAAACACTTGAGGGTTTGGCATATGCCCCAAGTGGACAAAATCAGACAGCTATTCTAATCCTGTGCTCATCGGAGTCAAAGGGATCGACATTCCCACCTCTCCATCCTAGCTCCCCACCTCACTCATCCCTTTTCTTCCAGCATAGAGTCAGCCCACCTTGAAGGCATTCTGCTCAGCAAAATTCAAAATCATGTCCCTCCTCTCCCGAGTGGTATTGGTAGCATCAAACACCTAGGCAGAAAGCATACGAAGTAAACGAGCAGGAGGGAAAAATGAAGTAGTGCCCAAGGCCGACTCCAGGTGGAGATAAGTAGCCAGGACGCTGGGAGAGGGGCAATGAAGGGAAGCAGACGAGACTTACCGCAATCTGCCCACTCTCTTTAGTAAAATAGGCCTTAACATCTTCCAGTGCTACCAGAGCACACTGTCTGCCATGAGAACAAAGGAAATCAGAGAAAAGAGCTAAGATCAAACAAGGCTGGAGACAACACACAGTTGTGGGAGTCGCTTCCCACTCGATTTCTTTACGGTTGTTTTCCCCTAACTAATCTTTCAGCTTTCCCACAGAAGTTTACACACCGTCCCACAACTTCCTCCCTGTCCAATTTATAGGCCTTATACCTCTTTAGGCATCCCACAAAAGCATCTTCTAGAGCCCTGTCAGCTACCCACCCAACCCAAGCTGATCTTATAATCTAATCACATCCATTAAAATGCTCCTAAAACATTTCTGGAGGAAAAATGGGGGCCCTAACACACTCAGTCTCACACCTTTAAAACAAAAAGAAAAGACTCACTTGCGGATCTTCATAGCCTCTTCATTGTCATGACGAAAGAAGTCATAAGACTTATAGGACTTGACTGCCTCACGCCGATAGACCCCAAGATTAAACACTGCAGTAAAAACAGTACAAAAACAGCCCCACTAAAGGAGACTTCTTGGTCTGAGAGTGGCCCATGGGATGGAAAAAGTGCCATTGTATGTCAAACATACCAAACTAAGACAAGTTGGGTTAAGGCCCTGACTTACAAGAAGAATGTGGGCAAGTCTAAAGCTGAGCTTCTCTCTCCCCAGCTACTGTCTCAGCAGGGTACCACTAAGGTTCAAAGGCAAGGCACATGTGCCAAGGGTTCTGAAATAGCATATTCTCAATAATTCTGAACACTTCTATCAAAATTAGGATGACCTGTCTAGGCCTGGAGGAGACATGTCTGAGGAGGACAGGAAACAAATTCAGTAAATGAGAAAGCAATCTTGATTTTCATCAGAAGCATTATAGGATCTCGCCGTTAGAAAGACTAAGTCTCGCAGAGGCCTGTGGGGCCCCAGAACTCATCAACCCCCTTCCCAAGGAATGGCCTGCACCTACCTTTGGTGGGTACCCCAATCCAGTTGAGGTAGCGTGTTAGTTTCTTGGACACGTAAGTTTTACCCCGGGCTGGCAAACCAATCATAACAATGAGGGTTGGAGAGTTGGTCATGTAGGAAGCCCATGCTAAAAAAAAAATGAAACAGGCTGAGTTAAATGACTACATGTCTCATGAGCTTTATGTACTAGATGAGGAACCTCACAGTCATCATCTCAGAAATCTACAGGGCGAAGGTTCAGGAAGAATGAGATGGCAAACTGAGGCTATATTTGGCATCTCCTCTTGAAAGAGTTAAAGGTCAGGCAGACATCCATAAAGTACCCATACCCAGGCATTTTTTCCCAAGTCTTCAGAGAGTTCCCAAGATGGGAAAAAATAGTAAAGGTTAGCAAGAGAGAGAATACTAATAACATGGCAGCTATGATTCTATCACCTCAAACCAGACTGACTTTAAGAGAGTCCCAGATCCTACCTGGAGGATCCCACAAATCCCTCCAGAGCCACAGGCAAGACTTTGATGCAAAACGAACCCTGCCTCAAGATGTTTTGGCCACAACACTCAGGTCATGAACTCCTCCTCCACTTAAATTTCTAAACCACAGTGATATTCAGTAGCCAAAGCCTGCAGGATAAAGGTCTGAAGAGACTCCATAAAGTTTCAGATCCAGCACAAGACCTGGACGCCTGTCTGCCTTGACAGCTCATACGGAGGTGGTGCCCTTTCCGTAGGGATAACCTCTCTCCTTTACAATACAGGCTCCTTTACAAATACCAGGGCTTGGATGGTTAGTGACTTGTACAGCACAAAGTTATTCAAGTGTAGACCTGGCACTGGAATCCAGACCTGTGCTTCCCAGCCAGTTTTCCTCCCTAGCAAGAGGCCTCTTTCAGTTTGCTCATAGGACGGTTTCCTCCCTGCACAAGCTGCCACAGAGCGGAGGTAGAGAAAAGACCTGCATTTGCACCTCATCAACTCCTTTCCTGAAGCCCAGCCCCAAGCTGATTTGTCAGGGAAAATGGAGAGGCTGTAGGCTCTCTCCATTGAGAAAGACAAGAAAAGGGGGAAAAAAACTACCTAAACCTTCTGCTTCCAGCTCCTTTTCCAAAGGGATCCGGCAACATGTGTCACCTAATGGTGACAACGCCACTCTGAGGCTAGGCATCTTTGATGTTTCAGTGAGACTGGTCTTGCCGTGCCAGAAACTAAGACACCAGAGCATTTTCCCACACATGTGTACTAAGGGTCTACATCCTCATTACATATATGTGCATTGCTGCTGGGTCACCTCCCTGTTTCCAGGGATCATGGGAAGAAATCATATGGCCCACCATGATATGGGAGGAGAAAGGCACCCACCTAATAGATACACAATACTCCCACTGGGCTGTTCTCCACCTTGCAGATGGCCACTTCAGTCTCCTTAGAGTCTTTACTTTGTTTAGTTTTGCTAGATAAACTTCTGCATAAGCATTCCATTAAATGTCTCTATGAATTCTTTCCTTCAACAAGAACTAGAAGACCACCGACCGAGAGTTCAACCCCTGTTAAATGGAGAATATTGCTGACTCTGGACAGGAGCTCTGGCAACATAGGTCATGGAGCAGTATAAGCAGCCTTCATCTCTAGCTACACAAGGAGCTAAGAGGTGAGTAAACAACACCGTGTTGCCTCTGTGGGCATTAGTCCCTGAGCACGGACCCCAGCAGGCAACAGGCCTGCCTGGCATTAGGTCTGAGCAGTCTTCATGTTCTTCAGCTTTAATGCATTCTCCTCTGAACATGGCTGACTCGGCTCATTAGCTGCACTTGCTGGCCTCTCTGTCCACATCTTCTAGCCCATTAGGCACTTCCCCCAGAGGTGCTGTTTCCCTCCCTGAAGATTAGAGAGAAAGCACGCTTAGGAGCTGCTCTGAGAGAAACCAGGGAGGAGCTGTTCTGTGTTCCCCATGCTGGACAGAGAAAGCTAACAACAGAAGGAAGCAGGGTTGGACACAGGCACTCCATATCCCTACTGTTCAGCATGGCTCCTCCTGCCTCAGCCTAGAGCAGCTACGTGTGTGCAAACACACACACAAGCATGAATCTGCACGCACACACCCACATCCCTGCTAAAACCAGGGCTTCTCATTTTCTAGGGGAAAGAAAACAAAAAACAAAGACAAAAACCCAAAGACTACTTCCCACCTCACACTGCCAGCTGGTAACCCTGGGGGGAGCTTGTCCTGTTAAGTAGAAGCACCCCTGAGTGTGAATGGAGGGACTTCACACACTGATTGACCTACAGAAACATGGCATCTCTTGACGTACAGTGGAAAACTGTTCCAACCCTGAAATTCTTCTGTCTTTTTTATACAGAGTTAAACTTCCTTTACCTAGCTTTACCAGGCTTCAACTCATTTTCTCTTTATAAACATGCCTAGTCAAAATGAGAGCCTGACAGTTTCTTTCACATAAATGGAAAAACTAAACCCCAGAGAACTTAAGAGCTTGGCCCAGAGGACCACAGAAGAAAGTCAAGGTCAGGCTTCTTGACCACATTACTGATCTCATGACTGCCTATTCAGCCTTATCTGCTAGTTCTTGGCCATCACTTAAGCACCTAACAAAAGGGCCCATGGAAAACATGACTATGTTCTCCAGCTTATCTGGGAAGATGTCTGGGAGGGGCCAGCAATTAGGACGGTTCCTGGTCCCCTCATCACCAAGGGCATTTTCCATTATCCACATTAAACAGGCCCAGTATTTTGAATGTGTAACCCAGAAAACATTATCGTTACTGCTATCTTAATTTTATTCATTAAAAGTTATAAAACCTGATTATCTACTGCTGTTTTAACTGATAAGTATAAAAGAATCAAGTTCAAAGAACTGTACCCAAATACTAAGAAAAAGAAAACTGAGGTTTCTGTCAGGCAGTGCAGCCTTAGGTAGTAATAGGCAACCTCCAGCTTCAAAGAACACATACAACATGGCCGGAGACCACCACTGGATCTATAATGCTCCATTTATTTCTGTGAGAGCACTGTTGATACGAGCATGCAGAAGTAGGAAGGTGTCCACTGAAGCATTCTTTAGGACAGTGGAAAGTTCACTCAATGTAGAAGGAGATCGATCTGGATTCACCAACATGAGAAAACTAAAATAGAGCAAAAAGTGTACTAACTACTTAGAAAGGAAACGGCATCAGAACAGAATAAGTATATCATGAGTCTACCTATGTTTGGTAATGGGATACACCAGAACTAAACACCTAATAGAAGTGAATTTAACAGAGATAGGAGAGATTGGAAGAGATTTTACTCTCCATGTTTCCTTTTAGAATTATTTGAGTTTTCCTCAATATGTACTACTTTTGTAATTAGGGTTTATACACTTGTCTTCTCCAGATCTATTCAAAATATTTTAAAAATAAAAAAAAGAAACCAAAAGATGAAAAGGAGAAAAAAGACTTAATAAGGAACGCACACAGAACCCTCACTTTCTACTCTCAGAGACTCCTGAAATCACTCACCGAGGTACCTTAAAAGGACCCCAGCCAGGACACCTACAACCCCATCCCAGGAACAACTCAAGTCCCAGTAAGGCTCCTTGGAGGTCTTGGCTCCTTATAGTCACTAGTCACTCTTTGGCCTTGAAGCGAAGCCCAGTCACTCCCCAGACTCAAAATTAGCAAGCAGGTGTAACAAGCAGCAAAGAGGCAGCAGATGAGCTATAAATAAAGCGGCACGAGGTGGCCGGGGAGTCTATAACAAGGTACCTTCTCCACAGCACGCAGAATGGGTGAGTCCAGGTCTATCAACTTAGGGCTGATACCTACTGTCCAGTGAGGTTTTGAAAAAGAACACAGTAACAGAATAGAACAGGCACCTAAGTATCTACTCTCGTTAGAAGGATGGACCAGAACAAGATGTTCAAACTGCTGAGTCTCTGCAGGGCAGAGAAAATAAACTCATATTCTCCCAAGGATCTCGCAATCTCACAGTCCAACCATGAGATGAGAAGGGCAGGGTACTAAATGACAATTCAGAGTCCTTCAACTGGGGAGAAAGAGCAGTTTTAAAAGAGCAGAGATTAGAAAAGAACAGTTAGGGCCAGGAGCAGGGAGGACTCTAGAGAACATAAAGGAGACCTAGAATTGGCTTCGTAATCAGAAGCCGGGTAGAAGAGTGATGAGGGGTTAGGGAGGCAGGAGCAGCTCGCTGGACGGCGAGGCAGAAACGTGAGCCAGCTGGCGCTGATGGCACCCCATCCCTCTCCACTGTCTTTGGGACTACATACTCTAGTAACAGAAGTACATTCCCTTTAAGAGGGCCACACTGGGTCAGAACATGTGAATAATAATACTGTCAAACAATAGGAAACATACTTCACTGAAAAAACACTTCTTTACGAGGCTCTTAAATGATGAGTATAATGAGTCTACTTCTATGTTTCAAGAGCAAATAGAAAAGGTAGGGTCACTTGTGAAAAGTACACGCAGCAGCTACTTGTGGCGCTCATCTGAGTGCTGGTCTGTATGGACTTATCTAATGCTCACATCACTCCCGGGAGAACCGTTTCAGTATTTCCACTTTATAACAAAGTAAACTAGGTTAAGTTTATAGGCGGTGGACACCTATAACCCTAGCACCCTGGATCTAAGGGAAGCAAATCACATGTTTAACGCTGATCTGGGCTACGTAGTGGGACCTGTCCAAGGAAGAAAAAGGGAAAGGAGAGAAGGGGGCTAAAGGGGACAGAAGGCCAAGGGGGTGGGGATAAACTGAGGGAGAGGAACGTTAAGCAAATTGCTCAAGGGAGCACAGCTAGGAAACAGTAAAACCACCATTCGAACTCAAGCAGTGTGACTGAAGGGGCTACAATTAAGTACCTCGCTGCCTAGTTTACTCACTGTTTGCCCTCAGGACTGGCTTCCTGCCCTGGCAAAGAAAGGAGACCCTATCCACAGAGGTATGCCAAACTCAGTGCTATGACTGCACCTATCCAGGACACATCTCACGGAGGCCAGAGACACGAGCATAGAACAATCAAGAGCATGACACCATGACGGAGCCTCTGGGGTACGGTCTCATGCTGACCGCACCTCCTTCCACCTACCATATATATACACACTTCTTCCTAAAGAGAGACCTGGCCAGAAGGGTTCCAAAAGAAGGTGTATTCCATAAGGAAGACCAAAAGTGCTAAAACACTTCTGAGGGTTTCAGAAATATCTGAGGACCAATGCCCCAGCCTTTGAGGGAACTCTAGGACCTTGCTTAGGAATGTAAAGTCAGGGGAACGAGAAAAGATTCTTCATTCCTCTGCCATCATTTCTGCCATCTCTGCACTTAGGTGAAAGAATCTGCAAAATGCAAGGCTAACCCTGTAAGAATGTGCAGCACCTAAGACACTGAGAGTCAGGGCTCATTTCCCCTCAGGCCCTAAGTAACAGAACCAGTAAGGGTTTATACCCGCAACTTGTTTGTTTGTTTTCTGAGACAAGGTCTCAAGTAGCCCAGGCTTACTCTGAGCTAAGTGCATAGCTGAGTACAACCTTGAACTTCCAATCCTGCCTTTATCTCACCAGGGCTTGGACTAGGGGTGTGTACCACCAAGCCTGGCTTCTGCCTGCAATTTAGAGTGTCCCTGATCTAGAACACAGTTCACGAGATAAAGGGAAACTGAGAGAGTGACAGCCCCATGTTAATCCTGTACCTTGACACTTGGCCATCCTATATATATATAACAACTTGTTCTAAGCTTCCAACATCAGGCAGGTGCTCCCATATCTAATGAAAGCAGCAAGAAACTCTGGACCACACAGCAGTCAAGCTCCAAAGACACATTTCACTAAGCCTACTTGTTTGGGGTAGGAAATGGCCCACTGTAGACTTTGTTTTAAATCCTATGTCTGATGTGGGATTCCCCTCTTATGCTGTGAATACAATCAGTGAATAAAGAAACTGCCTTGGCCTGTTGATAGGGCAGAACTCAGCTAGGCGGGTAAAACCAAAGTGAATATTGGGAGAATGGAGGCAGAATGAGAGAGAAGTCATGCAGACCTGCTGGAGACAGACGCCAGAACTTTTCCCCCGTAAGCCACAGCCTCATGGCAATACAGATTACTAAAAATGGGTTAAATTAAGATGTAAGAGTTGGCCAATAAGAAGCTTGAGCTAATGGGCCAAGCAGTGATTTAAATAATACAGTTTCTGTGTGATTATTTCAGGGCTGAGCAGCTGAGAACCAACAAGCGGGCTCCTCCAATATATGTCAGACACAGTGTACACATCCATACTCAAGAGGTTAAAAAAGGAAACTTTGCATGAGTCACCAGCAACCTGGGTTACACAGCAAGTACCCAGCAAGCCAGGGCTCTGTAGTAAGACCCTGTCACAAAATAAATACATGTAAGTTGTCATGCCAAAGAATTACTATTTGCTCCCACAGTACAAGAGAGTCTAGAATACAAATACAATTCCAGGACAAAAAGAAAAAAAAAATCCTAAGAGGGGGAAGTCTTGCAGAACTTACAGCATTTCTTCTCCGCCTTCCGAAGGTTTGAGGTGTGAGATTTACTGCTGCTGCTGCTTCTGTGTTCTGTGGAAGATGAACTATTCCCAGACATGGTAGTTCTTCAGGAGACGCCTGGGAAAAGAGAGAGTAGAAAATACAAGGAAAGTGTCCCTAAAAATAATACAGAGATTAGTGTGATACAAGCAAGGAGCTGGAGATTCAGGTCCAGCCTCTTCCTCCCAATGCAGACACTTGTTCTTGGATAAGTCACTCACAAACCTGATTGCTCACCTATAGAGTCGCACTCCAACTTTGCATTTATTTGCGTGACCTCATTCACGCTTATATATCTCAGATCCTGCAAGCCTTCCAACATCTTTTAAACAGCAGACTTTCCTATCATGATTATTTCATTTTGTTTTATAGAACAAATCAAAGATACCCGACTAAAGTTCTTCTCCAATTTTCTTGACCTCACATTCTAGTTTTAAGACTATGGAAAGAACAGAGGAGGCGACCAGAAGTGAGGTGGAGGTGGGAATAAGGGCATTGTCAGGAAAGCAATCTCAAGTCAAAGGTAAAACTCAGTCTTACAGAGAAAAAAAAAAATGAGAATGGGAATGGTGGTGAGAAGGGTAGGGGCAGAAACGTGTTCCCTGAAGGATGAACTGTAACGGGACTGGGATAGCCCTAGCAGGTTCGGTTCTCCTCCGGTGTTCTCCGTTCTCAAGTCCTCCTCCCAACCCTCTCCTATCCACCCCCTGAGATCAGCGGAAGAAAATGACTTACCTGCACAATAAGTCTTGGGTCCTAATATCAACTAAGGAGGGAGGGACCGGGACTCAGGTATCAAACCCAGATAGATACCAAGAAGCTCACTCAAGACAAAAGGTACTATTAAAAAATAAAACAAAGCCAAAAAATAAAGAAAATAAAACCCTTGCACTGCTCCTCGCCTGACAGTACAGATTCTTCAGTGCTCACACCAGCTGGGGCTCAGCGTCCCTGAAGGTCTGCACGCCCAGGAGTGCCAGGGGAGCTACACTTCCCGAATGGGTTGAGCACCATCGCTCTGCACCTTAACCGCGCCCGCGCAGCACCCCATCCTCGAGTCCAGACTGCTCAACTATCGCTCACCCTATTCGACCTGCCCTATTCGCCCTCCCGGCTGTGGACCCGGTGTCGCCACCGGAGCGCCGCGAACCAACCTGGCAGACTGACTCAAGTCCCAGCTCCCGGGGTGGGGGCAAATCACGTGCTCCGTTTGGCTCCGCCCACCCGCGCGTCAGCCCTCACCTGGAGGCAGGCTGGACCAATGAAGCATTTGCATGGCAGGAGGCGGGCTCCTGGAGAAGCCGACCTAGCTCCGGGAGGACCTGTGATCGCCTAAGGCTGCCAGTTCCCAGACCAGCCGGCTCAGTGCAGCTTGGTGGCGTCGTTGCTTGGGAACAGATTGAGCAGGAGGCGGGGTTAACAAAAAGCCTTACCTTCTTTTCTTATTCTCGCGAGACCTATTTGGCTGGCATCTTGAGTGGGGGTAACTGGTGAAAACGAAGATTAACGCCTTCACTCCTGAATCTCTGCTAGACTTGGTAGTTCCCAAGACCGGGGAGGGAGACATTTGCTTTTAAATATGCCTTGCTGGCTACTAGGGTGCAAGAGCGAACTACAACTTATGGTCAGATCCTGGAACCTAAGCCACCCATGCTCGGAACCGGGAGCTTTCCTGGACCCAGGTGACTCCAAATCACGTTCCTTATTTCCTCTCATTCCCCCGACCCAGACTATATTATCTATGGTCGTATTGAAGAACCCGACCCAGACTATATTATCTATGGTCGTATTGAAGAACCAAGAAGGAAAAGTGCACCTGCTCCTAGTGTCGGGGTGGGGAGGAAAAGATTGGCTGTAATTGATTCATAGGGGGAGGCTGTTTCCGTGGGTTTTCCACGTTCCAGAACTACTTTTCAAAGTTACCCCCAGCACACCATTGGTGCTTGATTCCGTGACAGTCCCGTGTGGGAGAGGGGCGGGGTGGTTGCTGCTTTAGCTAAAGGGTGAAAACTGAACAAACGAAGGTGTTTCTACTCATTTCTTCTTTACCTGGAAATCAGATCATCTTCCAGACGGCCCGAGTATGCGTTTTTACAACCCCAGCGTGTTAAGAGCATGCTATAAACCCCGTCATTATTTGGCGTTTACAGCACTTTTTTTAGTGTTCAGTCTCGGCCTCTCTGGACACTGGCTAGTGTGCCTGGTATGTCTAGTGTGTCTTCTTCCCCGTCTTCTGCCTCTCAGCCACAGTGAGGACTTCTGTCGGGATCCCAGGAATCGGACTGGAATCCGGGTGACAGCAGTTGGCACTGCCACCACCTGAGTGAGGCAGTCGCCCTAGGCACAGCTGCTGACCTCATACAGTCTTTCTGAGGTGACAGATGGACGCTTTCAAGTTAGTCTCACCGAGGAGTCCGGTCGTCCAGTCCCCTTAGCCTCGATGAATCAGTTCGCTGAGGCCACGAGCCTCATCAGCAGTCCATGACTGCTTGGCAGGTCCTGTGACCTTCCTTGGCGTGTGTTTACCTTCTCAACCATGAGTCGGCTTTTCCTGGTGTTTGAAGGGCTGCTTTCATCATTTCCGACCTCCCTCCAAGGTGACACTCTGCTCTGCTAGACTCGGGAACTCCTTCCCCGCCCTCCTCCCCAGAGCATAAAGGCTGGCGGACGCCAAGGGCACCACACCGCAGCGCCTGAGAAAGCTGGCCGGCCTCCAGCTCCAGCCGCCCTTGCCACTTTAAGAGCCCGTGCTTTGGGAAGAGCCGAAGCCGGTCCCTTACCGAGGTATCGCGAGAAGCGCCACCGCGGCTACTTCTCGCGATGTTTGGCGGCACGAAAGGCGGCCATTTTGGGGTCCCCCCCGCTGGTTGTTCCGGCGGCGTCTCCCAGGCTGCGGCTGGGACCAAAGCCGGCCCCGCTGTTGGCCGGCCGACCGACACGATGTGGCGGCTCCGCTGCAAGGCCAAAGGTGGCACCCACGTTTTGCAGGGGCTGTCCAGCCGGACCCGCTTACGGGAACTTCAGGGCCAAATCGCCGCTATCACCGGCATCGCTCCGGGTAGTCAGCGAATCCTCGCCGGCTACCCGCCCGAGTGCCTGGATCTCAGCGACCGGGACATCACTCTTGGGGACCTGCCCATCCAGTCAGGTACGGGCACCGGCTGGGGCCGGGGAAGTCCTGGAGGACGTTGAGGGGAGTGAAGCCAGTAAGTAAGGCAAGGTGCCGGTGGGGCCAGCTAGGGGCTTCAAGGTCCGGAGCTCCGGCAGGGCAGGGGCAAGTGTCAAGTCCTTTCCGTGTGGTTGGGAGAAAAGTCCAGAGCCTTGAAGTTCCCGGTTCCCCAAGCCTGCTTCCAGGTCAGCCTCGGGAACATCTCATTCATTTTGTTTTCTCTGATTTTCCAAAGGACAGCAGGACCCTTTTCCACTGGTACGATGTTTTTTGTTTTGTTTTGTTGTGTTGTGTTTTGGACTTTTCCCCGCCCTGGTCCTAATCAGCAGGCCAGCGGTTGAGATACCGATTTTGTCTTATTTTTCCCTTTTGTTAATTTGTTTTTATAGTTTGTTTCGCGTCCAACTTTCTTGGGCTGTATTAGCTGTAGAGTTTTGTTCCCAGTATTAAAACTTGAACATCAGTGCTGATCAAGAGCTTTTCCAGTCTGTGACAAGGGCTCTCTAAACATCAGTTGGTATAGTCATGCTAAGTGCCAGGAGAACACCCTAGTGACCTACCGAGTCTGTGGTGAACATCTGAAAAATGCGTGTTTTTTAAATGCAGAATATAGGAGATTTTGTTTTTCAGCTTCTCTTTATACATAAGGGTTTTTGTCACTAAGTTGAGATGCAGCTTGAAGCATTTTGCTCTGTTTTCCTTTCCGAAGACACAGTGGACAACAAACAAACAAACAAACAAAACTTGTTTACAGAGTCGTGTTCTCCTTGGTAACACACTTTATGCTTTAACTCACTTGGCTCATAATTTACCAAGTTGACTAATAAACACCCAATCTGTAATTCCTCTGCAGTTCTGGATTTGTTTTATTTTTCACAGGTGACATGCTGATTGTTGAAGAAGACCAAACCAGACCAAAAGCTTCACCTACATTGTCCAAACATGGTGCTCCTAGTTATGGCAGGGAACCTTTGCCTGTGCTTACCAGAACCGCAGTCCCGGCAGACAACTCTTGCCTCTTTACCAGTGTGTACTATGTCGTTGAAGGTGGAGTCTTGAATCCAGGTTGTGCCCCTGACATGAGACGCCTCATAGCACACATTGTAGCCAGTAATCCAGACTTGTATAGCGAGGCGATCCTGGGAAAGACAAACGAAGAGTATTGTGAATGGATCAAAAGGGATGACACTTGGGGGGGAGCAATCGAAATCTCCATTCTGTCTAAGTTTTACCAATGTGAAATATGTGTAGTAGATACACAGACAGTCAGAATTGATCGTTTCGGGGAAGATGCGGGCTATACCAAAAGGGTTCTGCTCATCTATGATGGCATCCACTATGATCCACTTCAGCGTAACTTCCCTGATCCAGACACTCCTCCCCTGACCATTTTCTCCTCAAATGATGATATTGTTCTTGTCCAAGCACTGGAATTAGCTGATGAAGCTAGAAGAAAGAGACAGTTTACTGATGTAAACCGCTTCACCCTGAGATGCATGGTATGTCAGAAGGGGTTGACTGGACAAGCGGAAGCAAGGGACCATGCCAGGGAGACAGGCCACACCAACTTTGGAGAGGTGTGATCTGTTCATGGTAAGAGTTGGAGCCTACTACCTCACAGATCCAGAAGGCTCTATAGTTTTCCAATAAGCTATTCATAACCCTACAGAATAGAAGAACACATGCTTGGACCATCCTTTTGACTTAAACCAATAAGACTGACGCTGAAATTCCTTGTTAAGATTAAAATTAGTGTGCAAGTTTACAGATGTGTGGCTACACTAGTGGCATGCCCTCTTTCTACTAGGGTGATGGAATAGGTGGCTTGGGCCACCTGAAGCCTGGAGTCTATTTTAAACCAGCACCCAGCGGCTTTAACTTACAGAAGAAAACATCTTATTTTAGGTAATGTGAAAGCCTTGCAGAGGGTCACTGGACATACACCACAGTGTCTCCAGTAATTGGTTCCTTTTGATAACTTGGAATGAGTTAGTAGTTTCTAAATTCTGAATTGATTCATCAAATGAAGATACTCAGAATTGTCAAAACTTTTTATATTGCAATTTGGTAGACTTTATAAGTGTATCTAACAACTTCTGAGTGCATAAAAAGCAATTTTACAGGGATGCGTGTGTTTCTTGAGAATGTTGTCTAAAACAGGAATGGAGTCCTGTTTGAGAGTTCTGGCATATTAAAAAAAAGTAGAATGTATAAGGGAGAAAGGTGCCTGAAGCAGCTTACTGAAGCTTTAAAAGACCGTTGGCCTCTTGTTTTAATGCAATTCATGTGTTGCTGTTTGTCACATTAGATAATTTTTTCTTTTAAATGAGCAGGGTATGCCTTTTTAATTGCTAATTTAGTTTAAAATTCAAGAAGTATCTTGAAATTTGAGTGATGGCTTTTTTGTTTTTGTTTTCTTTTGCTGTGTTACATATCAATTTGTCTGGAGGGATTTCATTTCCCCGGGCTTTCTGCTTAAAGCCCTTCCTCCAAACAGTCTTCCTCTAAAGTGTTAATGCTGTGCAGGCTTTGAGAACTTCGTAACAGTCTTTTTCATAGACAGCAGTGTTCCTTGCTCCGCTTTGTTCTTTTGGATATTCCACATTTCTGCAAGTTAGGACTTTACCTGTGATCTTTGACTTTCAGTTTTTAAATAGCTGATTGGGTTTGTTTCGCTTCCAAAATATGAAAAGTTTTAAAATCCTTGCCTTATACAGCTCTCTCAGAATTCTGCTACCTAGATCAGATATGTAGCCATTTGCTTGATGGATTGATCCTCAAGGCACACCCACTCAAAACTTAGCTTCTCTATAAATCTTCCAGGTAAAATCTACCTCTTAATTCTTGTAAAGATCAGGGATCTTTAAGTTACAATGCGTTGTGCATTCTGTCATACAGTGTAAAGAGGCGCTGTTGTGAAGTTTTCTTATTTCCTTCCCATATTTATTAAGTAGCTCAGACAACCGTTGGTGTACTTTAGACACATCTTTTCCCGTGTATCTTAGCAATTGTTTTTAAATTAAGGTCAACCCCTAGCCATTTACTTGGTAATGGTAACCATGTAAAATTAAGGAATGTTAAAGTCAACACTTTAGAGAAAGTTCCTTTAAGGAACAGTTGAACAAGTCACAGAGTACGCTTCAGTCGTCAGGTGACAGTCGTCCTTGATTTGAGACAGTGTCTCCCCATGTGTTTCTAGTTGGCCTGGAATTTGCTATATAGTCCAGGCTCCTCAAACTTGAAGTAATCCTTCTGCCTCAGCCTCCTGAGATTACAAGCAGGGACCACCACACCTGCCCAGATGACTTTTCTTGAATACCCTTTGTGCACATAGCCAGTCAGGCGATGACAGTTACTATATAAATTGAAAATATTTAATTTTGTTTGTTTTTTTTTTTCACTGAGCCTTAAAGATAGCACCGATGAGCTTAGAACACTGAACATTTGGCATTCATGATATTTAATTTAATAAAATATTTAATTTAAAACTGTACATTAAAAATATAGCACTGGGTAACATCCATCAAATTGAGTTTTTTGCTTCATATTTAAAAAGTTTGCCTTCCTGTACCACTTGAGCATCCAAATTCAATGTTTCTAAAATTTTGGATCCAGACCTTTGTTCATGCAACAAGTATTTATTGTGTAACTTATAATGTGTCAGGCATGTTCTATTTTTTGAAAATAAATTCCTGTCACTTTAAATTTGAGTCTATGTCATCTACAGAGGATTAGTTTAGTAAATGTAAAGAAATAGAATGAGCACTGGTGTCTTAAAAATC